GCTCCGGGCGGGCTGCTGAGCTGCTCCTGGGGAGGGGCCCCGTGCACCCCCCCGGGCTGGGGCTGCCTGGTTATTTTTGCTTTAAAAGGGGACCGAGGAGGGGAAGGGGGGCGCTGGCCAGCGCCGATCCAGCCTCACGCTCCCCGCCTGTGTTTTGATTTTCCTCGCTGCTCGGCGAGGAGCACATGGCTCTGTCAACAAGCTACTTTCCAAGCAGGGAAATTTGCCAAACCGCCGTGAATGCTGCTGCTGCTGCTGCGCGCTCTCTCTTTCCACACACACACGCTGGGTTGTTATCACCCCCCCTACACTCACACACACTCACACACACACACACACACATACACACACACACACGGTGCCTGATCTCTCCTTTCGGAGCCCAGCTAGGCTCCTGCGATCCTTGGGATCCGCGTCTCCCCTGAAACTAGGCCAGCTGGCTGCAGGTCGGCAGCGAGGAAACTTTTTCCAAAACACCCTCTGTCGATCACGCACCCAGGCATGGGAGTCCAGCGCGCCGCATGGCTGCGAAGTGCGGCAAGATTTCTTCTCTCCCGTGGGCTCCTTGAAGAGGGGGGTGGGGGAGGGTTGAAAAGCTACAAACTGTTTAAAACGTGCCCTGCACAGGTTTGGGGAAGTTCGGCTTGAGTGGGGAAGATGGTGTGGGGCTGTGTAAGATGGAGAGAAGGGGTCTAAATGAAATAATGGGGGGGGTCTCCTCCTTCCCCCACCCCCAGCTGTTCCCCTAGAATTTTATGCTGGCCTGTCAATGATAAACCAGTTTAATTCGGGTTAATTGGAACTGTCCCTACTGTTTTGGAAAAGCTGTACGTTTAATTGGAAGAAAGGACAGAATCCCCTTGACTATAGATTTAGAACAGACCCCATGGCATTCATGATCACCGACGGGAATGAAAGTTGGTGTTACTGAGTGGTCTGAGGATTGCAATGCTGTTTGCATCACACCTACAATATATACAAAGTGTGTGTGTGTGTATGTGTGTGTTTGGCAGGGAGAAATCCTCCCCTATAACAATGCACCATCTTTGTCATTGCAAATGATAGCTGAAAAGGGAAGAAGAGTTATAGTAAAAGTTACAAGGGAAATAGCAAAATATTTTAAACCTACAAGTGTTATGCTTTTATGTAATGCTTGGCTTTAGTTCACACAAAAACGCCAGCACTGCCAGTAACACCCCCATAGGTCTAAGACTGAATTACAAAAACATCAAAGGGATTTTCCCCTGGACCTACCACAAACCCTGCTGATAAAGTGTAACGTTTTCTCCTCTACTCGGGGTGCTGTTAAAAATACAGAATCAATGTAAAAAGAGAGCCAAGAAAGGCAATGATCTTCTTTGGTAAAAGAGGAAATACTGATGTGGGAAGATGATTTTCCCCTTTACTCCTCCCCTCCTCCCCCTTAATAGAGGAACCTGAACAAAATACAGTATGAGTTGTTTTAGAAACCACTCAGCCTTCTCAGAGTGGGAGGAACAGTGTTACACTTAACCTGAGAGTATGAAAAATGTCTAGGAAATCAGCTTGTTGGGTTATGAGGGTAATAAACCTGCTGCGTGGTCCTTAGCAGCCAATAGTAAAAGATGTGTGTGTAGCTACTGGAAAATTATAAAAAGAATGATGAACTGAGCAGTAATGAGACAGGTCTCCTTATTACAATCAGCCTCGTATACTTTCTGGATAGATAATAGTGCAATTAAGGTGATTGAAATAATACTTCTGGTGTTTTTAACCTCTTTTTTATGGCAAGTTATTGAAAGTTTAACCTTCAAAAATCAAGCTCATTATTAATGTATTGTCTATTGAGCTTTTAGATTGTATCTTGTTTTTATTTGTATTACAGTGTGTAAGTTGTATTGGCGACTTTGTGGTATGCTTTCCTGGTCTTTCTTAGGAACATTTGGCTGCGGTTTAAAAGGTTACCTCCCCCTCCTCCTCCTCCTAGGATTTTTTGTTCCCTCCGTAGGCTTCAACACAGTAGAAACAGTGAGTGTAAGTTTCTGTGCTCTGCTGAATTTAATAAAACATTCTATGTGCATGTCAATCAGTAACTCAATAGAAACCTTTTCCACGGTGAGGAAATCTGTGACTCAGAGGTTCTGCATACAGGAGGTACTGTGTCATGTTGGATTTTCTTTTTCTCAGGATGCTCTCTCTGCTCATTACATAATGCTTGAGTTCCATCCTCCTGTTTTTTCAAACTTTCCAAAATTAGGCTGCCTCTTAAATAAACTAAGTGAAAGCTGAACCCACTCGGGGCTCGGTTCATGGGAGCCGGGTTCTGCTCCAAGACAGAATTTCCTCTTCTTTTAATTTCCTGGAGTTCTTTGTTCTGGGTGACGGACAGCTTTTGTCTGTCATTGCTGAGCCCTGCATTCAAAGAAAGGCACAGGATATGAGATGCACCCAGGTTCTGCTTAGTAACAGCCTTGGAATTAAATGCTGTCATTTATATTTAAGTAGGCTTAACTTTTTAAATTATTGAAGCTATAAGCTTTCGCTAATTCCTATTCTCTACATGGCTTTAGGGTTTTGTTCTTAATGTGGTAAAGGATTGCTTTCTCCTAAATTGGCATAAGACCTGTCTTTTCTCTTAAAATACATACAGGGTATCTGGTATCATTTCCCTAATAAAGCTCAAAGACAATATATGAAATTCAAACCCTCATTCAGCCTTTGTTTCAGGCGGGAGTTCAGCTTGAGAATGTGTTTAAGTGCTAAGAGCTGCTCCGTTTTCATTTACAATCAAAATCTCATGGTTAATAAAATGACAGGCTGGGTTGTCTAGCAATAACTAAGTTGCATGTAAAATATGAGAGGGCTGAAAAGAGAGTGTGTAGAGTGTACCTGCACCTCTGCATTGTGTAAATACACAATTTTGTTACCAACACCATGTCATCAGCGTACCTGGTTTTATGATTATTTAATATTTATGTTCAGATGTGTAACCCACATACCCAGTGTGTGGGTTACAGATGCACCTAATGGCTAAGGCAGATATTGCTTCATTGCATTGGGTGCTGTAGAAACACAGAGTCAGTCCCCGACTCGAGCAGCTATAACTCTCAGAATAATGGTAATACACACAGAAATGTTATACATCTATCTAATAATTTCTACCTGTTCTATATTGCCTATCACCCTCCTGTTCGTCTATACCCAAAACTCCCTGCAAAGTCCACTGGGAGTTCAGCGTGTGTAAAGAATATGGATTTGGGCCCAGGGTCTACACTACAATCCTGACCCCGCCCCACCATTTCTGCACCCACCCACCTGATTCCACTGCCTTTATTGGTGTATATGAGAGCAGAATCAGGCTCCTGGCAGTAACTATTGCCAAAGAGGGGAGCAGAGGCTTTTATCGTACTCCTACGAACCAGGAACTATCTTTTTTCCTTCGCACTGACTTTTTACTTTTCGGATTTTCTTCTTTGCGCCTGGAATTTCTCTCTCCTTCTCTTCCGCTTGAAGCATGCTAAGTGCATCGCTCCGGCCCCTGTGCAGTACCAGTCCCTGCACAGCTATGCTCTGCAGATACTTTAGAAGTAGTTCCATCCAGTGTGTGCTCCTTTATTTCCCCCCCCCCATGCTTTCACTTCCCCAGGGCCCCAAAGGAACTCCTTTGTCTGGCGTGTGGAGATCAAGAGAGCGTGTCTTTCTCACCATGGTGGAGCACTGACATTCAAAGGCTGGCTTCTGCTCCCTTGAAGTCAATGGAGCTTTCTTATTGACTTCAGCGGGAACAGGATCGGGCCCCAACCGTGTGGTTTCTGTGTGAGGAGCAGCGTGGCAGGATAGCGCCATGCTGAGCGTCTGGCTTTCTCCTGTTGAAAAGCAGAGAGCTAATTCTGCATTGATTAGAGGGCATGCCATGCATTTCATTTTGTAGATTGCAGCAGCCTCAGAACATGAGCCGCTTTGTGTTTTTTGGATCCATCATATCACCCTTTTATTTGATCTTACCTGACAAGCCTAGCCAAGCTTGTTCAGATTAAGATTTAAAAAAAAAAGAAATTAAATTAGCCTAAATCCAAATGTGGTGGGAGGGGAAATAGTCAATTCAAAATTACTTTGGAATCACAAACTTATTTAAACTTTACTGCGGCTTGTCGTTTTACAGAGTTTTGAGACTAATAAATTACAGAGCAGCGCTCATGAAAATCTACCCAAGTCACTTTATCCAAAAGAATATGCAACATTTTGGTTTTTCAGGGAAATAAAAATAATTGTTGACACATGTCCGGGAGTCACTGGCAAGCATATAAACCCAATGTTTAAGGGGAGGACATGTCAATAATTGCACTTTAAAAGAGGAGTGAGGCAAACAGGCTGACATATTGGGGAAAGCACATAACTACTAATCTGGCGTTGCTATTATATCAGATGTCACGGTTCCACCGCAGCATGCACTTGACTGGAGCCTAGACACTTAACAGTCCAGACCTGCTGCTGCTTTGGTAATTTAAAACCGGAGTTTCATAGCAGAGGCCAGGATTAATTTCATTTTTGCTCATTGTTTTGATGAAGCTAATCGTAAAACAAAAGTTGGGGCTTTTTTTTTTTTTCTTTCTTCAGCAGAAGCAGTGGGACTGGACAACAGGGGATGGCTCACTCAATAATTGCCCTGTCCTGTGATTTTCCTCTGAAGCATCGGGCACAGTGTTGGGTGCTGGGTTAGAGGGGCGGTTGGTTTGACCCTGTCGGGCAGCTCTTACATAAACCAGTGCTTTTGCAAAAGAAATCTTTGCCTCTCACACCCACGCAATGAGTGTGAAGGGGCAGAGTGTTGGTACTTCATCAAAAAATAAAAGGCCCTGATGTGTGTCCCACTCTACTGATGCCCCCTGGAGGTGGAGCCCGGAC